TATAATAATAAAATATTTCTTTAACAATAATAAATTTTAAAATTTTATTGTCACTTCAAAATATCATATTCTTTCTTATCAATTATAAATAAATCAATTGTTAGTTAATAATATTAGTTGAATTGCAAAACATAATATAAAACACATGCTATTTTTAAAAATTAATATAAAATAAAGTATATAATATAGAATTTTAAACTATGCTCAATATTGCAAAAACAAATTAAATAAAGTTAAAAAAAAAAAAAAAATAGTTAATAATTACTATATTATCATTAGGTTTTGTATATAAAGGAACACAAACTAGTATTAGACAGTATAAACCTGTAATAAGTCCCTATGACTGTATAAATTATATGAATTAAGAAAACAGAAGCCTACTTGGAAGACCTAAGTAGAAAGATAACCTAAACTTTTGATAATGCTACTATAAAGACTAATAAAGCTAAAACTTATAAAATCAGATAAAGACAAGTCAGTCTTTTAGAAGAGGTTATTATAAATAGTCAGGCCACTGAGATCTGTTCTAGAAAAAAAAATTACATATCAGAAAAATATGCAAACCAAAGATATAGTTGTATTTATCTTTCTGAATTATCTGAACTAAAAGCCTAATGAAATTTAAATTGAATATTAAAGTAGTAGAAATATATTGTAAAGTAAGTATCAGAATTAGAATAAACTCTATAAGAGCAAAATAGTTTAATAGTATACTCTAACTGCAAATATTAATCTTAGCTATAAGAATAAGATACAGAAGATTCTAAAAGGTTTAGTATAAGATCAAAGATTTCTTATATGAGTAAACTGCTTTAAAGACTTAGTAGCTATAGCATATTTTTACTGGCATTGACTAGGATTATTGGTAGTTAAAGGTAGATAGATGAATACAAAAACTAGAATATTTAAATAGGAAATCTACAAGCAAATTTTAGGTATAGCAGCTAGTATAGAATCTTTGAATAAACTACTTAAATTAGACAATAACTAAAGTTGTATAAGTAGCTAGTTGTACACTCTTTCTATAATTGTTTTTTGTAGTTGTAATGCAACCATTAGCCAAATATATTATCAATAAATTTCTATATAACAAGTACTTAGCTTAATATTTAAAAAAAATTATTAGATTTTGTGATTTTTTAATTTTTTAACACAACTTCTTATATTATATTTCTGTTTACTCTAATGTATACATTTAATACTTTTGATCTTTAGATTTATAGATATTCTTCAATATTACTATATTGTATTTATTTTTAGTATCTTTTTATAACTAAAATTTTATTATTTATGTTTTACTTTTTTTAAGTGCTGTTTTATTATCTATATTATTATCTTTTAATCGAGAATTATTATTTTTTGATTCAGAATTATTATCTTTTGATTTAGTATTATTATCTTCTGATTTAGTATTATTATTCTTTAATTTAGAATTATTTTGCTTTTTTTTGTAACTTCTTATATTGTGCTCTTGTACACTATAATACTTATATTTGTTATTATTACTTTTAATTAACTGTTAATTAATTTCTATATTAGAAAGAAAACATTGCATTCTTCATAGTTAATCTTTTTTTGCTTTTGTTATTGAATTCTTGATTATAAAATAATTAAAGTTTAATTGTTGCATATTTTTTTCCAAGTTCACTATTGGTTTGCTGTTAAAAAATTAGTATTATTTTATTTTTTTAAAAGTTTTTAAGTAATATAGCTGGTTTATCATCTAATTTTAGTTCAATAACTTTGTTTATTAAAGTTTTGGTGAGCCCAAAAACCTTTGCAGATGTTGTCTTTTTTTAAATAAGACTGCTATTTTAATTTTCTTATTTGAAAATCCATATACTATATATTAAAACTTAAAATAAGATTCTATATTGTAGAAAGTTGGCTTTTATTATTATTAGAAGTTCTTAGTTGAATAAAGGATCTGTTACTAATATTATTATTGTAAATCTAAACTTTGTACTCATGCTAATTAATTATATAAATATAAAACTTTGCTAATAATGTTAAAGATATAATATAAAAAAAATGTTGACAAGTCTAACCTAAAGTTATAGATAGTTTGCAAGTGCATTAGTAATTACTATTAATTAGAAAGAATACAAAATAAAAAACATTTAAATATATAATATATTATACTTTTCAAATTAAAACAATTTAATTTTGAAATTCATTAAGAATAGTTGTTATATGCACTTAATTTAAATTAAAAACTTTATCTAAATATGCAGTTTTACAATTAACTTTATTATCTTTAAAAGCTGTACAGTTTATAAATTTTGTATTATACAAAAAACTATAGTTTATTTATTTACAGATTTTGTTAACAATAGGTAAGATTTTAAAAGTATTAAGTTCAGAATTAATATTTAAAAAAATTGTATTGTAGATATTAGATAGTAAAATATATGAAATTGTTTTTTTTTTATAATACAAACTTATTATTAGTTTATTATTTTTGAAGAAATTTAGTAATACAATTGCAAACTTCAAATAATATTACTAATCATTTACTTAATTTTGTCTTGATACGTAGTATGATTTATGTTTTTAACTTAACTTATTAATTGTATGTATAATGTAAAACATAAAATTGTATAGCATTTGTTCATGCCTTTTTGCTTTTATATAAATGTTTAAAATAATTTTAAACAGCAAAATACTTTTTAATTAGTTCAAAATATTGATTTTCAAAATTAATAATTTCAAACTTATTATAATTTCAAACTTATTATAATATTGAAAAAATGTTTTGACAAAATTGTTATATTCTTTTAAAAGCTTGTTTTTTAAATATTTTAAAATATTTTACTCATGTTATATACAATAAAGATATTATATTAAAGAATATGTTTGTATAACTATTATATTTATAGCTAGATTAGCATCTGTAATAATAATTAGTAATAAGAAACTAGTAGCTTAAACAAGCATTTTTAAACTCTATAAATATAACTCTAATGACTTATTCTTAAAAAATATCTAAGCAATTGGCTTTGAACTATAATTATTGTTAACAATTATAAAAAATGATAATAGTCAATACAAATATTTATCCAGACAAAGATTGAATTAGTGCTTCACCAACCCAAAAAGACATTTCAAGAACTTTGCTTTTAGAAACTCTTAAGAACTTTACAAACATCTTTTCAGTCTCAAAAAACATATCTCTTCTTGCCTTCTTCTTAAGAACTCAAAGAAATAAAACTATTGCCTCTCATCTTGATTACATCTTTATCAATGAGGATCATTCACACTTGGCTACAAAGCTAAACACCTTATATGATAACTCAGATCACAAGCTAGTGAAATGTGTCTTCAACTTTCAACAAACCTTAAGTGAATCAATAATTTGAAAATTCAACAAAAGAATCTTTACAAATGCTTTGCTTAAGAAGGATCTAAGAGAAAAACTACAAGAAGCAATAAACAGCAATGATTAGAACTTCACTAAGATCCAACTACAATCAATTATTAAAGCATACAAAAAGTCTAAGGCAACTGAAAACAATATTATGAAGCTTAACAGAAAAATCACAAATTTTAATAAGAGATTAGCAAACAATTCATCTAACAACAGCTTACAAGCACAAGCAAATTATTTAAATTATCAACTGCAGAAAGAACTTACTGATATGGCAAAAAAATAGCAGATATACTTGAAAGCAAAATAGATTGAGCAAGGAGAAAAATCAACTAAATATTTCTTTGTCAGGTACAAAATAAGAAAAACATATGCAGTACTGTCTGAAATAAAGATTCCTAATGCATCGATACAAAATGAAGATGATACTTTGAAATATATTAAAGACCAATATGCTGAAATTTACAGCCAAGAAGAAATGAATTTTGAAGATATTAATGAAATTACAAAGAACATTAAGCAAGTCACAGATTAACAAAACATTTTACTCACTAAAACCTTCTCAAAAGAAGAAATTACAGAAGTAATCAAGAGGCTTCCAAACAATAAATTTTCAGAAATTAATAGTCTCATCTATGAATTTTACAAACATTTTGAAGAAGCTATTACTCCTATTCTACAAAAGGTCTTCAATGATATGGGGCCTTTGCTAGGAAAATCAGGTTTCAGGACCCCTTAACCAAAAATAAGATTTTGATAGTATATTAATTTTTAGTATAAAAATAGCACTTTGGTATAATTTTTAGACTAAATTATCTTAATATAAAAGTAAATTTTTTTTAATCTGAAGTTTTTTTAATATAAGATCTAAAAATAGAATTGGATCATATCTTGTCACATGAAATTGATCGTCAGAGTTCTTTTTTATTAGTCATTCATTATTGTTATCTCAAATATTAATTCTGATTCTCTAATGCTAACGCTTAATTCTAACCTTAAAGATTTCGTTATGAGAGCTATAATCTATACTTATTTTTTTTACTAGAATGTCAGATTGTTATCACAAATATGTGTCTTGTTGCTAGTTTTCTTACCTTTTTTACCATTCTTTAATTTTTACATCTTAGACTCTCTCTGGTTCTTAGTCTCCGTTTCAGGCTGATCTTCTCATCAGATTCTTGTCACTTTGAGTATCTTGATCTTTGAGTTCTTGATTTCTGATTTAGGCCCCTTGATTCTTTAGATTTTCAAGGAGTTTCTTGATCTCTACTTCGAGTTCTCTATCACTGCTCAGGTTTTTAATCTTGCTTCAGGTTTTTCAATCTGTCTTACATTTTTTGATCTTTGCTCTAATCCTTTGTTACTATTCAAAATCTTAATTTATTATCTTTGTTTTAGTTTTTTATTTCTGTTTAGGTTTTTATTGCTGCTTTGGGTTTCTTGATTTCTTTTTGGGTTCTCTGTTACTGTTTGAGTTCTTGATCTCTGATTTAGGCTTTTTTTATGTATTTATTTTAGATTTCTTATCGCTGTTTTGGGTTCTTCAATCTTTGCTTCAGATTTTCTGTCACCAACTTGGGTTCTTTGATCTCTGCTTCAGGTTTCCTGTTTCTGTCTCGGGTTTGGGTTTTTGTCACTTTCTTGGATTCTTTGATTTATGTTTCAGGGCTTCTGCCACTGTCTTGGATTCTTTAATCTCTATTTCAAGTTTTTCATCTCTACATTAGGTTTTCTGTTGCTATCTAATCTCTATATTGAAGTTTATATTGTTGTCTTGGGTTTTTTGATCACTGTATCAAGTTTTCTGTCACTGCTTCAGATTCTTTGGTTACTGCTTCAGATTCTTTGATCACTGCTTCAGGTTTTTTGTTGGCTCTTACTGTATTTTGTTTTTGCTACAATATAATTTTCTTTTTACTCTGATATGTTATTAGTAAGTTATTTACTAAAAAAATCTATTAATTTAGGGTTTTCTCAAGCATTGATTAGATGGTGATGCTCAAGCATTACAATCAATAATGCTATTTATAGAATTAAATGCTTGAACGTACTCTATTTTTCATAATCTTCACTATATCTCTTAAAAACCTAATAAAAAAATTTTCTATTTAACCAGCTACCGAAGCTTCAACTTTGTTTGTGTTGGCTTCTCTTTTTTAATGATTTTACCAATTTAAATTTTTTATAGACAACTTATAGTAGTTTTACAGTTACTACTTCGCACTGAAGATAGTATAGGCAATATGAAAATATTTTTGAAAGGTTATAATATTCATTATTAGAAAAAAACAAGATTCTTTAGTTTTGAATCTTTATTGCGAAACTTTTAAATTTAGACAAGTAAAAATGGAATTGCAGTATTTATTAAATTTTGATCAAAGGTTAAAAGATGGATTGTATTTAGATCAGATTTAAACCTGATTTCCTTTGAATTCGATTTAAATTTGAAATATACCAAATCTGCAATACTCAATTATCTGTACAAGCGCATAGAGAACAAAAGATTCAATACCTATAATTTTCATTCTTAAGTGATCGAATGTTTTTGTTATTTAGTGTATTTATGTATGCATGCATATACGTACAATAATATTGCTATCGTTATTTGTCTGAATTCGACTAATGCAAAACAAAATCCGGTTTCAAACTTTATAAGAAAGTATGATGTTATGCTTATAAAGGCACAACTTAAGCATAACCGGATATTATAGAATAAATTCGGATTAAAATTCATGTATATTTTTATTAAATTTAATATGGAGTTAATAGGTGGATCCAGTTTCAAACCCTAGTTGTATTTATTATATTTATATAAAAGTATTAATTGTTTTAAAAGCTTTGAGCATTAAGAATAAAAGATATTTTTGGGTTGGTAAAAATTTGAGAATTCATTATATTTATATATAAAAAATGTACAAGTAATGCTTGAGCAACCTTTATCGATTCCCCATCCAAATAGTAACTTATTTAATTCATTATTCAGAGTGCTCTCAAGCATATTTCTCAATAAGATTTGCTAGTGATCGAGATCATACACAGGCATTATGATTAATTGAAGTAATCTTTATTGTTATAGCAATTTGGCTGTAGATATTAATTTTTAGCCAATCAGTACAACTCTGATAAAAAAGATGGTCTCGACCATTTTTTTTTTTATTGCAATGATGACCTCACTTGATCAGCTGAACTATTTTTTTTACTAATTAAAAATTGAGCTTTGGTCTATTAACTTAGATGCTTAAGAGCATCCTTAATTTCTGACTAATTAAATATTAGCCTTTGATCTATCGATTAAGATGCTTGAGAACACTCTTATTAATAAAATCAATTTATTTATTTTTATCTTTAGTTTTTTCTGAATTTGCACAATATGCATCTTTGTATGGGTCATTCACATATTGTCTAATTTTTGTAAATAAATAGTATTTTCTTTCTTTTGTTAATAATTTAATAGAAATAGTTTTTAGTGTAGTGTTAATATCAAAATTATTCTCACATAATAGTTGAAATGAAATTTCTGGTCCACCTGATTCAGTTGATGCATAAACTTTTCCAATATCTGTAGATAAACTACTAAATCTAAAATGATAGTATTGTTTTATATTGGGAAAATTTTCAAAATGGTTTTCAAATAATAAAGAAAAATCGTACCAAGTCCAACCTAATCTATTATTATATAAAATTGCTTTGTTTCCTTTTGAAGAATTATTAATAACATGTTCAATATCACTTATTGTATTAATTCTATGATTTCAATATACCTTTTTATCTTGACCAAAAAAAGAGTCACAAATAAATTTTGTGTGATCCAGAATCATAAAGTTAATTGTAATTTCCTCATACCATCCTAACATCATTAACCAACAATAAAAAAAAAGAGATAAATTATTTTTATTCTGACCACTGCAGTTATCACATGTTATATGTAGTTTTTTTTTTTAAGTGTAAATTCCTGAAGAAACCAATAAACCATATTGAGTATAGTATTTGCACCCTTTGAAACACCTTCTGGAAATTCATCTTCACCTATTACAAAATTTAGTTGAAAATTTTGACCTTCTTCTGTTTTATATACCCCAAATAAATGCACAGAAAATGGATTTTTAAAGTAAATTGTTCCTACTTGTTGTGGTGAGTATGGAATTGACATACTCTGTGCCCAATTATAACAAACATGTGTGATGGATAAATCTTTTGTACTCTTAGCTATATTATTATTATAATGTTGCCTTTCTCGATCTGCTGCAATGCGATGCTGATCATACATATTTTTAATTTGATTATATTCTTCTATATCTGATTTTGCTACTACTAATTTAGCTTTAAAAGTTTTACAAACTTCGCAAAGATTACTCGCAGGTGGTTGAAATTTAAGATAAGGAATTATTTCATATCAAAGTCTTCTAAATGTAAAATAGGAAATAACTTTTGTATTTTCACTATTTTCTTTATAAAAATATTCTTTGAATTCATTATAAACCAAAGTATATGTATTTCCAGTAGGTAAATAAATAAATGGTTCTGATTCATTTTTATGTCTCATAGAAGAAGGAAGTCTATTAATATTTCCATACTATTTTAAAAAACATTTAATCAGAAATGTAATACTAGAATCAAGATGTACTTTACTTTTTAATTTAGGTATGCGTCCAGTATTTCCATGAGTTTTTTCGGTTAATCCATTCTCTTGTAAATGTTTTTGAATCGCTAAAAGAACATGATCACTTATTCCACAAAGTTTTAGAAATACTGGTTTACAAAGTAATAAAGACGCATTATAGTTATATCTATAATTTTGTCTTTGAGATTCTATATTTTTATTAGTAATTTCAAAGGCCATTAATTGTGCTTTTAAAAATAACACACGTTCTGATTTTTCTAATGCTTTTATTTGAAAATATCTTTCAAAAAAATTTTTAAATCCAACTTTTTCATAACAGGTTCTTAAATCTTTTTGTTTAGGTGTATAATGGCATGTACAGTTTGATTGTTTTTTAAAAAATTGCATTATATCATGAACTATGTCAAGAACTAATTCATTGTCTTCATATTCTTCTAATTCCAGTTCAATTAAATTATATACCAGTTTTAAAGAATCTGAATCTAAATTATTTGTGCTTGAATCTTCAGATAAAGACATAAAAGATATAAATTATATAAAGTAAAAAGAAATTTATAAATTTACTCGTAGTGTATAAACATGGTTATAATTTTATTAGGGTAAGCATGGGTTTGGGATTGGGTAAGGTATAGTTTATACCAAAATTTTGTAAGAAATTTTTTTTTGTTAGAAGCCAAAAGGCGGTTTTATAATCAAAATTGTAAGATATCTATATCACCAGTGTACATGAAACTGCCAAAGTAAAATATTATTAAACAAAAAACTTTTGTGTGATTAAATATACTAAATGCATATTCTTTTAAATACAGTATATGTAGTCGATACTGTCTAATTGTATACTGTCTAATTGCATACTGTTTAATTGCATATACTCTTTAACCGCATAAAAAATTTTGGTTTTTAACTATTAATACAAAAATGGTTCTTATAACTTAAATGCATATACTGTCTATATGTGTGAAAAAGTCTGATAGATGGCATGCAATTAGACAGTATTGATAGTTGATATATTATGGTTTAGTTTTAAATTCAAAATTTGGAATTAAATGCACACTTTTTAAATATACTTTACATATGTTCAAAACTTAGAATTCTGTATATACTCTCTGTAAGTATGCTTTAAGGTTATTTATTTTAAAACATGTTATAACTAAATAAAAAAGCAATGCAAATACATATGCTTTTTATCTTTTGCATAATATACAGAATAAACATTATCATTACCCAGTCTTGAATATAAGGTTCGTTTAAGTCTATTAAGAAGTAAATCATTAAACAATATCATTTCATTACTAATTATTACTTCATAGACATGAAATAATGCCTATTTGCATATTAATTAATTGACTTGCATATTATTTCAAGTAAGCCCATGTGCATTATTTCAAATAAGGGCTGATTTTTGATCACATTCTCTTTAATCACAATAATATTTGAAAAAATGCTCAAGAGATAAGCAAGCCTATTTCTGAGCTCTAATAAGAATCGTCTTAATATGAAAAACAACTTTTGTTAGAGCTCAAAAATAGGCATATTTAGTACCAAACATAGTTCTAGAGCACCTTTTGTTTATATAAGAGTATATTGAGATGTGTGTTAATTCATGGGCAATAATTCTATTTTGTGTCTATATGGTAAGAAACTGTTCACTTTTATTATAATATGGAAACCAGAACCTGATACCTTGCATTCATCATACTTTGCAATAACATGCATACGTACATACATACTAGTTTTAACTAATATGGCTAAACAATTATATCAAATTAGTGAAGATATAGACATTTTTCCTTGTCTAACTAAAGATAGGATCAAAATGATAATTTTTGCAGAAAATCATTACCTTCTGTGGGATTGGTTAACAATTAATTATAACTTTAAAACCAAGCCTGTGGTTAGCCTAATTATTAGTCCATACTCCAGTACTCGGACTGGTGGATCTTGTTTTTCTGATAATTAGAGTTCAGTTTAGAGTATTCTCAAGTATCTCATTCAATAGATCAGAAATAAAATTCTAATTGAATATTAAACTGAGTTACCATAAAATATGGTGGTGCAGACTGTCTTTTTTTTTAAAGAGTTACTCTAAATAACTAAAATTTAGGATGCTCTCAAGTGTCAAATTTGATGTGATTAGCAAGTGATCAAGCATCATATTGACATAATTAGTTAGTGATTGTAATAGCAATAATTAGTCATAATAAGTATTGGAATCGATACTTGAATCCGGTTCTTTATTGATTCTTTTTATCAAATGTGTCATCATTAAAATTAAACAAAAATAAATAAATAAATAAACAAAAACAAAAGCAACAATCCAACAAGAAATAAGAGATGCTACTGACTTTCGAAAACATTCTAACGAAGTACAACTTTGGTAGTTCCTGTTAATCCACAAGTTTAGATCTTCATTGATGTTGGGTTTCCTGACTTTTTTTTTATTTTCCATAAAACTTTTAATGTGAAAATTAAAATAATAATTTGTTGATGCTAAAAATAAGGATCCAAGGTAAAGTTGTGTATTGATTGTAAATTCTTCAAGGCAGGTATAAAAAAAAAGATAATTTGTAATAAAAAGTTGGTTGATTGAATAACAAACTCGATATTTTTTTTTATTAATAATAAATGGTTTAATTCATAATAAACTTTATCAAGTTACGTACACATATTCATCGTAATGATAAACACACTTGTCTAGTTTTCACTAAATAAAATTTATTTCCAGACACTTTTTGACCCGTTGATTGAGGCCTTGAGAATGTAATAATTACTTTATTGATTATAATAATTAAAATACATCTTAGGATTTTTTCAAGCAGCTAAGTTAATTAGTAAAAAGATAGTTCAGCCGATCAAGTGAGGCCATTATTGCAATGAAAAAAAAGATAGTCGAGATCATTTTTTTTTATCATAGAGTTGTACTGACTGGCTAAAATTTAATATCTGCATTTCACTCTATAAATCTTCAGCAAAGATTATTTCAATTAATCATAGTGCTTGTGTATGATCTCGATCACTAGCAAATCTCATTGAGAAATATGCTTGAGAGCACCCTTAATCACCAGCAAACAGTATTAAGAGACTTGAGAACATCCACATTATTTAGAATTAAATGTCGGGAAAAATAATTGTCAGGAAACAGGGTAAGTCTTTCTTGAGTGCTCTCATTAACCTTACCATTCTTATTCATGCTCTATTTTATAACATTTAAAAGCCATACAATCTAATCAAAGATGAAACTTGAGATTGTGAAAGAGGACGATGATATATTTTCGGATTAGTATAAACGCATCATATTACAGAGAGACCTCTCTAAATGCATCATCCTCAGGACCATAGTAAAAATTTTCAAAAATGTGCACTTAGATAGGGTATGG